GATCAGGAGAAAAGCAGAGAGCTAAGCACCTGCATAACGGTGTAAAGATTTACTCATGGCATACCCACGTGTTATTAAAGATTAATCAGTCTAGAGCTCTTACTAGCTAGATGTTCATAATGAGAAGAGCAGAAAAGAACTCCAGGAAGAATTTTAACTTTATTTATGCATTGCATGACAGATTGTCACAGACATGGAGAAGGTACAAAATGAAGAATTACTCATTCTTTCTCTTAAAACAAGAATTAAGAACATGAAATTAAGTAATTAGGTACAAGCTTTAAAGCAAACAAATATTCTTTCTCAAGCAACACATAAATAATCTGTAGAGTCACATGGCTGCAAGACACTGGGAAGACCAAAAGCATTAATGGATTAAAAAATCTAGTAGAGAACTGCATGGCATAAAAGTCCCCTGCAGCTTATTAAAAATAAAGAGATATATTCCATTTCCAGTTTTGTGTTTCTAACCTTGCAGGTTACCAGAGACAGCTATGGTCTGCCTAAGGAGGAGTATCGCTTTATGCTTGTCCTGTTACATGGTTTCATGATGCTTTCTTGCCTGGTTCTTGCCAGAAACAGAATGTCAGACTAAGCGTGTCTTTGATCTCCCTGAGTCCAGACAGACTTTCATTCTTATATCAGTGAAAAGACAAGTGATAGGGCTCTAGACACTATGAGGACAGAAAACAGAGATGGCATTTATGTTATGCTCAGTCTCCCAGGAAGAGGAGCATTACAGTATTTGATTCTCTATACAGGCTACTTTCAAGAACAGTGAAATGCATATGCTAAGTTCTCACAGAACCTAATGGAGAATTATTTGGTTTTAATTTAATTGTATTCCCAAATAACCCTGCAATCTAATTGATTAAGAGTTGATGGTAACTTTATTTTGTATATGCTCTGCTAAGTGACAGGGCAAGAATTCAAAAATAAAACAAAGGAAAACAATCCCGAGCTTTTCTGCTCTTCCTAAGTATTTTGCTCTTTATCTGCATGTATGTTTGCACTCTTAACTCACGTTGTCCGTGGCTATTACTTGACGTAGTATCAAAACTGGCCACTTGAGGGCAATACTGCAACCTAATTGTCACAGTGTTCAGTCATATTAAAAGATGTTTTCCTGGGTAGGTGAGGGTCCAGTTTTATTTGCATGTATGTTACGTGTAAAAAAATATTTCTCTTTACTCAAGTTTCCAAATGCTTAATACACAGAGAGAGAATTTCAGCAATAATTAACAAGCTTAACACCAAACTGCTTTAATAAATTACTTTTACTTCACTGCACAACTGGAAAATCACTTAATACCATAGTTTCAGTTGAGGGTATCAAGGGTTATGCAAGGCAAGGAATTCAAATGCCGAAGGCACCTAACTGTCTATTTTGGATGTGCAGAGGGACGGTGAACCAGACTGGGGGCTGTGGGAAGCTGCCAACAGCAGAGAAGAGCCCTCCCAGGTGACTCAGGATGTGGCACCGCTACGGTCTACAAAAGTGCATCCCTTCATTAAGAATTGGGTCCAAGTTGGGAAAGGTTAATGGCAGGGCAAAGGAAACAATTCACAGTGTGTTAAACCTTGAGATAATTAAACATAAATGACTGTTTTGCACACCAGTTTATATAAAACAGAAAATTATTCAGGGGTCAGCCTTCTGCTCCATACACATGAATAATGTTGATTAACATGGAGGGAATTATTGCATACATTTACAGAGACCCATCCCTTAATTAGTACCATATGCAAAATGCAAAGCTTCTCTTTTATTATTATTTTTTCAACGCACAGATGGTCTAAATAAGGGGTTTCCAAATTTCCTCAAGGAAATAAGGCTATTACGCAAGTCTCATATCAAAACATTTGTGTGGCAGAAAGCCATTCTCTCCCCTGCATCTCCTGCATCTTCCCAATCAGGGCCCAAATCTAGAGTCACACTTTTGCCACCCCTTGACTACACACAAAATCTTCATGCCAGCTCAGGATTTACCCCCTTTTGCTTTCTGAACTGAGATACTCAAATATGGATAATCTAGAGAAAACCTGGCAGCTGGTGAGCAAAACACACTTGAACTCTTCCTGAACTGCCATTTGGCTAATGCTTATTCAAGGAGTCATTCTGAAGCCTTGCCATTATGATTAGGCTAAGTAAATATGAGTTGTAAAAATCATTTGTAATAGTTTACTAGCAAAGAAACAGTGGGGAATGAAGTATTGTTTAATTCATTAAACTCCTGTTTCTTCTTTACAGAGTTTCTCTTAATCATGTGATATCATCTGGTACCCTACCTCCAGTCTTTTTAAAAATCTCTCCTTCATATATATATATACACCACATTCTGGTTGCTTCTAGCAACCATAAAGGGTTGTACATAGGGGATCAAATTTTAAACTTAACATACTGACTTTGTAGTAATAATGTTATAACCAAGTTAACCACAATTGGTGGATTCATTTCTCATTGCTAATAGTTTAATTATATTGGTATGAAAAAATTTGCTGACCAGAAGCCTATACACTGAGGAGGTCTCTAAATTATTGTGCAATGTTACTGAAAGCAGCACATCTATGATGGCAATTCAGCAGATTAAAATTATTCTCATCTATTCATTAAAAAAAACCCAAAAAAACAAACAAACAAAAAAAAAAACCAAAACAAAAACAAAAAACCAAACAAACAAAAAAAAGCAGTCAGCTGCTTTTGGGGAAAAGCACATCAAACAGCAGCAAATTTTTCAAGATCAAAGTCTCCTCTATAGGCATGGTCAGTCCCAAGTGACACTGATGTCAATCAGTAGGAGAACAAGTCTTAGAGATCCTTTATGTTTTTATTGGATCTTCACAACATAAGAAGCAATTTTCCTTCCTACACAATAGAGTTGGCAGAAATTTAGGAGCTTTCTGGACCTGGTTCCTTGGCTGGTACAAACACACGCAGCTCCACTGGCTACTTTGGGAGAGAAGATCTCTCTGCTGGCATCATATGTCCCACTAGCAACAGGTGATGGTTCCATGAAGTTTATGAGATATTTGTTGCAATCTCATTCCAAAGGATATCAAAGGCTGAATCCAAACCTTCTCCCAAGTATTGTTTTCTGACTGATGATCTCCTGCCTGATGCTTCTGCACCAAGCACAGAAGGCTCTTTTTTGACTTTCCCAGTAGTGCTTTCTGGCCACTCCATGAATTCCCAGTGTCTCATTTCTCCTGAAGACTCCCTGACTCCTCCCAGGTTCTTTACAGGACACACTGTTTATGCCAAGAGACGGTCTTATACACCCCACTTTCCATCATTTTTTTTTAATTTGCATTTCAATCTATACATTGCTACAAATGTGCTTGCTGTGGTGCCTATTTTTTATTTCTTCTCATTTTGACAAGTCTGCCTAAAGCTGTGGAAGATATAACACCACAGCAGCAGTAACCAGATTGGAATTACTATAGATGTGCTGCTGCTTCTATCTATCACTTTTATTGTTTCTTCAGCTGCCAAAGTGCTCTGTAAATGCTGGCTGGCACCTCGTTCAGCAGACTTACCTCAGTGGGAATTATTTTACAGAGCCATATCACAATTACTAATAACTACTAGACTTTAAAGTGGTCCCTACTTCAGCTGCAATAGTGATGCTGCTGGATATTGTGCTATTTTAATAAACATAAACCAAAACTGAACCCCAAGGTTTGAAAGTTAGTGACCTTTAGTCTTCCTAAATGTAAATAGAAGAAAATAGATGGCAAAATAATGTATCTCAGTGGGCTTCCATAGCTTCCAAGGGGAGAAAGAAAAAGAATTATGAAAAAGAAAGAAAATTAGATTAATCTCACCTAATTTTGGCAATCCTGAATTTGTCATGTTCTCAAAGAATGTCATAGTCCATGGAAGAAAGCAGACACTTTTAGCAGGAAATTAATTTCCTTCCAAAATTAGTGTCTAAATTGGGTGGGATGATTTGTTCTCTAGAGGAGTCTGTTTCTCCAATAACTAGAATTAGATAATGAGCTTAGACTAGGCGCTTAACTTTGAGAGTGATAAAATTGTAGAACATACCAAATGGCTGGCATCATCAAGAGTCCTGACAGCGACACTGCAACACTCAGGCTGATCCAAAGCCATGACCTGCTCCTACTCCAAGAGTGCTACATGGGCAAAGTAAAAAATCCCCAACCAAACAACAACAACAAAAAAACCACACACACACACCAAAAAAAGCCATCCTCAGATAACTGCTGCAGGAGCTGATCTATGTGACCTAAAGAAATCACTGCTACTTGGTGACCTTATTCCTTCAAAAGGAAAGGAGCAGCTCCAGAACAGTAGGTCCTCATGAAAAGCTGCCGTGTTGCAAGCACAGTTCCTTGCTGAAAGGAAAAAGGAATAGGAAAGTATGTCTGGAAACCCATAGAACCGTTGAGCAAACTAGATATTGAGAGAGAGGGGTCTTTCCAGGCACTTGGAGATGTCCAGACTTAGTCCAATTAAAGCACATGTGAAACATCCTTCTTCATAAAACTGAGACCATGGGAGGCTGACCCTCTCCATGGTATCCTTCCTTCCCCTTATTTAGAAGTGCCCTGACCCTCCTCCATTCTGTTTTACTGAACCCAAAAAGGAAATCTAAACAAATGACTTTAAATATTTACTTTCTTTTTTTACAACACTGTCAATATCCGGGCAAAAGATGTTACTGCAAGACAGCACCCCCACTGCAGTGCTTTATAGAAAACTTCAGCTTTGTAACTGTTGTCAAATGTCACCAGTAAAAATGGGCTCTGAGGCAAGAAAATCCAGGGCCCTCCATAAGCCCTGCTGTCGAGGGCACCTCTTCCCTGCTTCATGAAGCAAACCCCACTTGTTCTGAGAAATGAAAGCTCTATATTAGGAGAATATGCACTGTGGACTGCAAATAAAGAAGAGGTAAAAGAGAAGAAAGATATTACATGGTTTTCTGTCTCTGTACTTTGCCTGAAAGATGGAAGAATTAGGAAATAATATGTTTTACCTTTACAGAAAAGTGCTTCTTCTTGGGTGGATGCCAGACTGTGGTGGTTGAATGAATGAATGCCCGCAGAGGTGTTAAGGATGTCACAAGCACATATGCTTTGATGATGACAGAAACGTCTTGAGCTTTAAGGATGTCCATGTGGCCTGGTGAGGCTGATACTTGATTCCTGGAAAGTAATAAAAATGCATAGCATTAATGAAGTTCTTCTACAAATGAGGAAAATCAGCTATAAGAAAATAGTGAAATTAGCAGAAATAGGAAATTAGTCCTTTTTTCCCCCAAGTTAAGCAACACACTAGATGAAGCCAAGCAGGCTGGAAAAAAAAAGCTTTACATGAAGTCTTTTTATTGATTCTAGTAATTTTAAATCTTAATTTCCACACTGTGTTGGTTTAGGCCCTGCCAGGACCGGAGATCACGTTGCCGTTGTCCCTCCCCCACCCTCTCACACAAGTAGGGCACAAACCCTGGGTTAAAATAAGAAGAAATTTAATACAACAGTGTAATAAACAATCTGAACAACAACAGTAGCAATGATAACAACAATAAACAGCAATAACAGTGAACAAGACAAAAGATATACAGAGAAATACCACAATGGTTACAGACAGCCTGCCGTGTGCTCCCCATGACCAAAGCCACAAAGGAAAAAGTTCCCGTGCTGCCGTGCTGGACCTGACACCCGGCTGGAGATCCCTTTCCCCTCTCTGCTGGGGAAACTTAACCCTATCCTAGCTGAACCAGGACACACACATAGAAAGTAATTATGTGAGGAGGGACTTATGTTTGAGACTACATATGCATTGTGGACATATGGTAATTACTGCAAAACCAGAACATTCAGAGTGAAGGTAAAAACATTTGAAAACTCCAAACAGTTTAAATAACAGAAGTGCATAGTAAGGGTGCCCAGATTTAACACTGATTTGTAGTGAATTCAGAAAAAAAAACAAAACAACCCTATGGAAAGACTGCACTATTGTTAGCACTTTCTTCAGTGTAATAAAGGGACACAAAATGTGGTACTGCATGCTTTCCCTAATGAAAGCCATAAACTATAATTCCAAATATTATGAAAGACTATGACACCTTGGAATAACCCATAATAAATCAGCTAAACATAAAAGAAACATGCAAGCTTTGTCTAAGAAGTGACATGGCTCTCTAGCTACTGGCCTACAGCTCCCACAGTCCACACAAAATGAATCATCCCTAGTAACAGGACAGAAAAAAAAATAAACCCAAGGGAAAAATCTGTTATTTAAAAGCTCATTACTTGGGGAAATCTGAGCTATACTTGGGCATATTCACAAATGTGGTTATTATTCTGCCTATTAAAATCTCTGAGTATCAACCTACCTCAGAGTAAATGCAATGAGAAGATGACTATACAAATTATGGGTCTCTAAGACTGATTACTGGTAAAACACACAGGGCTTTCCTTCCATTTCCCTGTAAACTTTGGCAATACGTGGCCTTTCCAAACCTCAATTTTGCTATCTGTTAAGGGAGTCTAATAATATCTATCTTAAAGAGACCTTTTTCTCTCCTCTGCAGAGTGGTAGGTCCTCAGAACATAAAATGTGTGAGATATTGTAACATAGGAAACAGCACTTGGACAGCCAGTTCTCAAGTACTTCTTGGTTCTTCACTTAAGGGAGGGTCTCTGAGCAAAGGACTACATGTGTGTGTCAGCAGTAGGGCAAGGCAGGGATGGGAGCATGTTGGAGAATGGCTTGCAGAGAGCAAGGTCTCTGCAGGAGCTGACTGCAGCCATCTGAGGTAAACAAAGGAAAAAACCCAGGGCACAGTTATGCTAACAAATGACTGTTATGTTAACAAAGAGAGAAACTGAGGTACACAATGGCCTTGAGTCTGATGGTAAACAACCTTGGAAAAAAAAGGCAGGCCAGAAGAGGGAAAATGTTGTGACATACCTGAAATGCCACAAGGGGCTGGGATATTATAATGTAGCCTTTTACATGTATCCAATTGATTTGTGAGTAGTATGCATGATTATTGTAGAGTGCTTATATAAGGTGTGATTTCTTTCAATAAAGTTGAAGCTTGCTCTATCATTCACATTGAATCGGCTGCTTGCTTCCTCTGCCCGCCGCAGGAGCAGGATATAGCTTAGCCACCATGAGACCTAAACATTCAGAGGTGTACCTCGGTCTGTATTTATCTAAGTGTTTCAATGCCCTCAGCATAGACTTACCTGTTCACACAGAATATATGCAAGCTTGGCTAGTAGAGAAACAAATACTATGCAAGTGTAAGAGATGCAGTACATCCTAGGACTCCATCTGCTGTGGTCTCCTCTGTTGCTACATTCTGGGTCCCTGACTCCTGACTAACTGCATGACAAAGCATTCACAGTTTCTGAGGGTGGGGTATCATTAACTTACAGCTGTGCGCTTGTGCTCTGCTTCCACCCGTACTGCAGATGGGCAGTACGTGTCTTGTCAGTGCCTTCGTGGCCCTGGGACATGTTGCTTGCTGTGCTGGCCTTTGACAGCCCAGGCTGACCGGAGCACTCTGGGGTGACAACTGGGAGCTGCAGGTCTGCAAAAGTACCAAGAGGATGAGAAAGCCAGCAGTGTTGAAAACAGGGGTTGACTCCTGCTGTTAAGGATAAAATGTGTAAAACACAAAAGGTAGAGAGGAGCTACCAGCATGAGATGAAAATGTAAAATAACAAATGCTTAGACTATAATCCTTTTTGGATCTGCTAGCAGAGAGCTTTATACCTACCGAGCACCCCCTTCCAGCTGCAGGATCAGAGGATTAGCTCAAACTCCCACTTTATAGGTGAGTGCATGAGTGCTGTATACAAAAAGCACACTATTCTTCTAAATAGAAATCCTTTATTTCTAAGTATAGAATACCAAAACTTCGTTTCTCACATAGCCCTAATTACAATTAATGGGGATAAGCAAATTAGTTGACTAAAGACCAAGGGACTTTGCCACTGTAATCTCACAACTCAGTAAATAACCACATAACCTTTTTTCTAGGGTCACCATTTAAGGCTAAATTTTGTAGTTACTAAAATCTATAGAAGTCTTAGTTCTGCCACTGAACACAGTGGGAGCAGGGCTGATGTGCCAGAGTCCCTAAGATTCCTGAGACATGTGACTATTAATAGTAATCAAAATATTGTGATGTGAGATCAGTCAATGGGTGGTATGAATTTTCTGCTTTTACTGTGCTGATAAAAAAGCACAGGGTGCTCACATTAGTCATTATTTCATGTAGGGTGGCTTTCATTAACTCTAACACACCTCACACTTCAAGTTCTTAAGTAATAGTTCAGGAAAAGTCAAGCTGTTCATATTATTCCCAAGCCTTATTACTTATCTTTTTAATGACATACTGCACTGTGCTAATATTATGAACTTATTTGTATAGCTTCTCTTTTAAAGCATGCACTCTTGACTTTGGTACATGAAATGAAAAATAAAACTGAAGCTGTATTTCTGGTGATGAGCTGTGAGCAGCCATTCAAAGAAAAGAACTATTCATTTTCATACAGATCCTGTTAAAATGACATTGTGATTGTCTATGTTTATCAGCTGTTCATCAGGTCAGGTCAGCTCAGGCCTCTAAGCTCAACTGGGATCTAAAATTAATCTGGTCCTTTGCCTTACATGCACCATTTAGCAGGATTAAAGGTTTCACTAATCAAAACCAGGCATTTATTAATATAGCACCTCACGTTCAGATTATACTCTCATTGGCATCTTTCTGCTGTTATGCATTGTAACTGATTTGGACTTTGTAAGTGACTACCTGCTTCTTGATGGTACAGAGACAAAACAGGCTACTGTCTGCTTACTTGGTTGTGCAGTGATAACAGGAATAAGACAGTAAACTCCCATTAAGTCATTTATTTAGCAGACTTGCTTCTGAATATGCACAGGGAGCAGATCTTCTAAATCAAGTGCTACTTTTTCCATATCTGCCTTGTAAAGACATAATGGCATTTCTCTATGGGAATTTCCACCCTGTAAAGAGACAATGGCATTTCACCATGACAATTTGCACTGGTCCCACAAAAACTACTCCTATGCATCATTTTAGTTACCTAACTGAAGTGCCTATATTAGCAAAATAGTATTTGTAGGCTTTTCCTTTAGGCAATGGAGAGAGACCAGTCCTTGGAGCACTCAGAGAAATAATGGTTCTGAACTGCTCTCTGAAAGGGTTTATTTTTTCATTGACTACGCATGAAAACTAAGCTACTTACTTGCAACTGCAAATAATTCCCAAAGTTAGATTATACAGTTTTGGTGTTCAGGCAAACCCCTAAGTATTAAACCACTTAAAGGCCCTCCACAGTGCACAGATGACTTCACAGATCTTTTTCTGATTTATCCTGACACTGGTAAAAAGGCAAGACACAGTCCTCTGCTATTGCAACTGTCTATGGAGTTCTGTTCCCCTGTATCCTGGTACAACCATCAGGAACAGCCCAGTGCTGTCAGACTCTGAAGTTCAACTCCTATGGCCTAGATCTTCAAAGAGCGAGATAATGATCTGTTGACCATGAATGGGAACAAAGTTACACAAAACCCAATGAAGCCCATGACAGTTACCTCATTGCCAATGCTGCTCTAGAGGGTCAGGTAAGAGAGAGACACAGATTGTCTTACTGTGATGGCTACAACTTACAGCTGTAGGCAGAACTGTGCTTCCAGACCAAACTCCCTACAACCTATACAACTTTTACATTAGGCCATAGCTATGTGACATGCAAAGGACAAGAATAACAGCTCTTCTCAGCTGATCATCTGAAAGACAAATTATGTCAAAGATGCACATTTTTCAGCAATTGCTTTAGTTAAAATTGCCATAATATTGAGAAAAGGGAAATGTACAAAACATAATTTTCTTATTTAAAATAAAGCAAATATTCCACTGAAAATAAGAACATGGCAGCAGAGAAGGGCTGCTCAGTTCGTTACTCAGAAAGTAGAGTGTCCTCTCCTTTTTAAAATATGTTTTTAATTGTATTGCTAAGGCAACAAATAACTAATAACCAATATAGTATTAACTCAAAAGACAGAGTTTAAAAATATTGAGATTAGGTTTGTACCTATATTTACCCCAAAATTAGAGTTTTTGCTGTTTTAGGGAAATATAAAAGACTATTTTGACATTAATTCATTTGTCACAATCCAGTGGACCTTTTACTGGATCTGGATATAACAAAAAAAAACCCAAAAACAATGGGTAGGGGCAGATGAAAAACAGAAGTGTCCTGAAATTCTCAAACTACTGGGTGGGAGATCCTTAGCATTGCCCTGTCATTGCAAAACGCCTCAACATAGAAAAAATGGAAACCTGACATTTCTTGGAGAAGGTTAAGCAAATTCAGAGTGTTGGTGACTATCATTGAGAACTAAAAGTTATTCCTCATGCTGTAGAGCATCCTCTCTGTATGGTGCCTTACACACCTCTGTTGGTTTTGTGTTAGTATCCACCTGGGAGAAAGCCCACTGCAAGGTGTCTGGAAGGAGAAGGGGGAGTGAGATTGTCACAAGGTGCTCACTCCTTTGAGAAGACACACAGCATGTACAACATCAGGCAGAGTTAATAGGGAGTGACAGTCCCTCATTTTAGTAAATCTAGTCCTAGTAATCAATGAATACAATTATCATATTAATAAAGAGACATCAGCAGTGTTGAACTGCAGTACACTCAGCTGCATCAGTTCTTATGGCAACTCTTCACCTGGCCTTGCACTCAAAAGCAGTAACAGTGTTTATTAGAGCTGTAAATTTGTTAATCAACATTATCATCAATGAAAATTAGCCAGCAGTGCCTTTACTGTTTGTAGTAATTGCCATGTTTTTTCCATCTTGAAATCACTCTACAAGCTGTTGTTAATTAAACAGTCCTACTGAAGTACATAAATAACATCAACATTTTATAATAGAAGAGGTGAGGCAGACTCAGCAGTAGGTATGTGTCAGGCAGCATGGGAAACCAAGTGAGAAAGAATCCCAGCATCCTATCATGTCCAGATTACATCTCCTATTTCAAAAATCCAAACCAGTAATTTTTTATAGCAGGCTCTAAAGATCAAAAGAAAAAAGTAAACTAGAAAATAACAGTTTCCCTTTTAAAGTGGCTATGCAGTAACTGAAAGGCTAGACAAACTGCTGTTTTTCCTGAGAAGCAGCTGCAGGCTTTGCCACAAGTCTCTTTTTCTCCTGCCACTTGTGATGATCCAGTGTAAAGCAAAGGACCTGAGGCTGGAGACCTGCTTTCACTTAAAAAAAGTGCTTCACTTCCTCGAAATTCTGGCTTGAAGAAAGTTTCTTATGCTGACATCTCTGAAATTGGTACCACTGAAAACACTGACAAACAGCACCACTTTACCTCTGTCTAAGGTGTTCTCCATTATGCCATTTGGATTCGTAAAGAATCCACTACAAGTTCTCAGCTGAATTCACATATTAGCCCTCTAACTACAGCAAGGGGTACAACACAGATCTGAGACATAGGAACAGCTGGGGGGCACATGTGAAAAGGAGGTATAAGATCCACTAAAGCAAGTCAACATCTCCAGATCAAAAAAATTAAGCACCTCTTTGTCACATGAACTGGTGATAGATAATTGTTCTGTCAACTCCAATCTCTCAAAGTACCAGGGAGTCAAACAGATCAGTTGACAGTGACAACTGATAGCTAATGAAGCAGCTACACCTAATGAGGCCTTTCAAGTATTTTCCACAACTATGGCTTCTTGCTCCCTCTCCCCCCATCTCTGCCTCCCAAGTTACTTGTCTTTGGCTCAGAGTTCTGAGGTGTAACATGAGATTCAATGGATACACAATAAAGAATAGGTGATTTAAGAGTTACAACATGTGGCTGAGCAAAAGGTTTACCAATAGCTAGAAGTACATTTGGACAAATTAAGACTTCCTGGAGCAGAGCCAGGTCAGTGTTGACTTGGCTGCAGCCACATGGAATGGTGGTAAATGGAACACTGAGGTTAACATGAACATCTGGTGATCTGCAAGCATAAGGAATTCCACAGGAGAAGACCCTACTGGTTGAACTGAGTAACACTCAATTGAAAGAAAAGAAAAGAAAACAAAAGATGAATGAGAATGTGTCCCCTTCTTTATGCTGCTTTTCATATTATCCTTTGATGTTACAAGGAGGTTTATGATATGGTTTTGTTAATTTTTTTTTTACTTTGTCCAAGATCAAATAAGCTATATTTTATACACTTCAAACATGGAGCAAGGAACATTTAACACTATTGTCTGTGAGAAAAAAGTAATTTTGTTTCTAAAGTGCTCATCAACTGTCAGATCTGTTAGAAATATTTCAAGAGAGATTGAGTCACCTTGGAAGCTCCTGGTTGTTTAATGAAGCACAAAGCTAGAGATTGGATGAAATGCAACTAAGGTGCTGTGTTTTGTTCTGAGCCCAGAATATTGTTCCTTTCTTTCATAAAGGGCATTGTAAGCTCAGCGCATTGTACTTGTAGTGTCTTCATTCAATTGCTTTTCTTTTTAGCAGGAAAAACATCACTTTAGATCATGAAA